GACAAGAGACTCTTCTTTTATACATTTTCAATCTTTTACACAATTTACAAAACTAATAACTGTTCTAAACTATACCATGATTTACATATAATACTAACAATACAAAAGGAGTATAAACATCAAAAAATAAATAAGAAATTACACAAGTTCATTAACAAGAAAATACAAAAGAAAATTAGTTGTAATTCTAGTGGTTAAAGATAAGAAAAGCAAGAGTTTGAATAAAAAGAAGTGTTGTATAGAAAGAAAACAATATTACAAACATGATAATAGATAATTATAACAAAGAAATTATAAGATAAAAAGAATAATTGTAACAAGAATGAAAAAGAAAATAAAATTAATAAAAGCACTGCTGCAAGTCAAAGTGCGATGACTTCACATTGAACTTAGTTGTAATGCTGCTGCCAGACTACCATGGCGTTGTCGTGGTTGTTGTTGATTTATAACAAAAATATTTATTGTAGTTTTACTCATTTTTGAATGATAAATATTTCTTTTAAAGATGCTAACAAATTATTTAGTGCCAACTGGAATATACAAAAGAATCATAAGTTCAGTAAAGCTTTAGTGCATAGGTTAAATTCTTGTATACTCACTTTTGAAGTCGCACTATTGGCTTGCAGCCACTGTGACAGTCGTAGTGGTTGTTGTTGTCGTTGCTGTTGTGGTTGTTGCTGCAGTTGCAGATGAACATGTTGATATGTTTGCCGCAACTAATATAATAGTCGCGGCAATGTTTGACGACGGTGTGGTGGACCTCCACCACATTCACAATAATATCTATTTTGTATGAGATTATATTTTTAATGGTGGAGGGGGGGCTGGTTGTGGAACAAGGACAATAATATACATGTATATACTTGTCATTTTTCGTATGAGAATATATTTTTTTGGTAGTGAAAGATGAAGAGGTGATGAAAGTAATCAAAATTAGCGTAGCAAATCTTTCAAAAAGAATCCTTTGAAAGTATTTCAAATTCCCACGTATTCTATATTATCTTTATTTTCGCTCGGCAATTAGCTTTATAATCAATTCGTAATAATTTTAGTAATTACGTGCAATGTTTTATTTAAAATCTGAGATAATGGTAAAAATAAACGATTGTATGTATTAAAAAGAACCAGTGCATAACGATAGCGTATTTACATGTATAATGTTCAGTCATGATTGTGATAAGTGTAAAATAAGCAATTTTATTGCATTCTTTTATTAGATACGTAATCGATATCTTGATTTCTGTTAAACCATTCAGCTTTCTAATTCGTTGTACATGTAACGGTAATATAAAAAAGAAGGTTTTGAATCAATATATAAAGCATCCTGGAAGATACGTACTTAACATACTAAACTACGCTGGTTGGACGAAAATAAACTTGAACGACTGAAGACTGTCAAGTTGTGTTGAAATCATTACACAATTCAAAGCAAATTATATTCGAGTTTAAATTAAACACGCAACAACAGAATTTATTTTAAATATGTAAAGAATTTCTTTAAAATACAATTTTTTTATTTTAATTGAACGACAACAACAGCATTTAACCAGAGCTGAAAATATACAAAAATATAATAAGTACAATAGGTTAACTATAAAATTATGACACATCACAAGTTAAATACCCACTTCTGGAGCTGTCGCACGGCAGCCCGCAACTGCCGAATTTGCTGTTGTTGTCGTTGTAAAGTTTGTTGTAATTGGAGGACGTCCAACTGCAAGCTGGCTATTAAAGCCGTATACGTTGAACGCCCTCTAACTGCTGGTTGTGGTGGTTGTGGTGGTTGTGGTAATTGTGGTGGTAATGGTAATTGTGGTGGTGATGGTAATTGTGGTGGTAGTGGTAATGGTGGTGGTGGTAATGGTGGTGGTGGTTGATGAACCAATGGTGACGGTTGAAGTTGGAGTGATGGTTGTGATTGTTGTGGTTGTTGTGCTTGTTGTGATGATGAAAAAATAAAATAATAATTATTATGATTCATATTGATATTATTATGTATTTGTTATTTGAATACTAAAACGCAAACAGGCAACTGCATCTTTTTATAATATTCAGATCTGTAGTATATGACTCACAGCGATATGACAAATAGAAACTGTTAGAAATCTACAGGAATTTCTCGTTTATTCCAGCGTAATAACGTAAGAGTGTGTGGCGATAATATCGTAATGTTTCTGTAAAATCAAATATAAAAATTGTGGTATGATATCCCGATCCCAGTAGATATCTAATCGAAGAGCTCGATCCAAAATAATATTATATCATTATAATACGATTTTTTTTATTTATAGAAACATTACGATATTATCGCTCACACACTCGTTTATCCCAGCATCATAACATAAGAGTGTGTGAAATCAAAAATCGTGAAATACAGGAAAATAATATAAAATTAATATTATTTTCATGTACTACCGGATCATCCCACGATATTATCGCTCATACGAAAAATTCCTAGCAGTTTCTATTTGACTTTGTAGCAATTTGAAAACGTAATGTTCTATTTTTACATTTACATTTTATTCGATAATTAACCACGTGAACATTATCTATCAACATAAAAATTCTTGCATAATTCCGTAATTCCATCCAAATACTTAAACGCTGAATTATTAATTAAAAAGGTTTGTAATTCAATATTTTATTATAATCAAAAATATATATTTTAAAAAATTAATTTTAATATTTATTATTTTTTTAAAAATAACTTTAAGCTTATTGATTATTATAAATAATTCTAATAATAATATACACATTGTATAACTAGTATAAAAAAGTGTTACTGAAATATTTAATAATTAAATAATATAAAAATATTATATAACAAAACTTGTTTGCTTATTGAATTCATTTATATATTTAGTTTATTATAATCAAATCCCTTTATAATTATACCTGTTTATAATCACATCTCTCTATAGTTATTCTATTTTGCTTTCCCAATTACATATAAATATGATAAAAATCCCTCTATAGTCATCAAATTTGCTTTCTCAAGAATGATAACTATAAAGAAATTTGATTATATTTTATAATAATATAAAAACAAAAGTTTTTTTTATTTGTATATTATATTTTTATAATTTTTAATATTTTTTAATAATAAATTATTAATTTTCATTTTATTTATCAAGTTAAAAATTATAATAATAATTAAAAAAATATCTAATATAATTATAATTAGAATATAAAACAAGAATTTAACAAATATATAATTTAAATACTGAAAAATATTTATTATAAAATAATTAAATAAATATTGAATAATTTATTATATAAAATTTTTAGTAATAGTTTAATTATAAAAGAATTTTTGTTAAATATTTTGTATTTTTATTATATAATATTTGTATTTATTTTATTTCAGAATTTTTTTATTTATTCTTAATTTTTTTGCTATAAATATAATATTTTGTTTCTAAATTTTTTATTTATAATATAATACTGAACAATATCAATCATATAATTTTAATAACTTAATAATTAATAATTATATAAAAATTTCTCTTATAAATTGATAATTTAATAAAACTATAATTTTATAAGAGAATTTTTTATTTATTTTGTTTCAAAAAGTTATAATAATTTAAAATTTTTACTAATATAAAATAAAGAATTTTGATTGGTTAAATTAATTATTATTTATAAGATCTATAATAAAGTTTGATAATATTATATAATTTATATTGTTTGATATTGTATAATATTTTTTAAATATTTTTCAAAAGTAAAAAATTATATTTATTTATATTATAATTATATTATTTGTAAATATATTAATTTTTAACTGATAAATTTCAAAATTTTTTGTAGTTTAATATAATAATAATTAAAAAATAATATAATAAAAACATAAATATTTAACTATTTAGTATTATCTAAAATCATATTATAACAATTATTTAAATTTTTTTGATACAAAATATAATACAATATTTAATCACTTGTATATTTATAAATTATTAGAGTTTCTATATTAAATATTATATATTCATAACTTTCATATTTTAAATATAATTAATTATTTTATAATATATATTTCAATATTCAATAATTTAACATCAAAAAATTCAGAAGATATCAGATTTCTGATAATTTGTAAATATGCAATTTTTTTTGATTAAATTAACAAAAATCTGCAAAGAACTACGAAAATGCAGATTTTGATCAAAAAAAGTTATAATAATTCATATATTTATAGATCACTACAGATTTGTTTATTTATTGTTATAATTAATAAATAATAAATATACAACACATGTTAATTTTTAAACTTCTTTGAAATTTGTTAATGATATAAATTTGACTTTAATATTCTTTATCATTTTATATACTTTAAAGTTTTAAAATATATATTTATTTAACAAAAAATGATTTTTTTTACTGAATCGTAATACTATATATATTTCTTGATCTATAAATTCTATTGAAATTATATTATACTCTTTGATATAGTATAGATAAGAGTAACTATACAATTCCAGTTCATTTGGCTTAATATCATATCAATAAATTATAGTGAGATTGTACAATTCTTTTATTAATTCTTGGAAGAATCTTAGAAGAAGCAATACTTTTTTGAAAAAGTTTTCTTAAATTTGTGAAATTAAAAATTAACAAATCTCTAAAATTATAGTTATCTTTCTGTACCAGATAACTTCATTTGATCTATAGTGACTTTAATCTTTAGCAAAAGTCACTATAACATCACTGAATCACTCTTTACCATAAAAATTGCCAGATATTTTTAAAATTTTACTACTTTTTAAATAAACTACATTATAAACTTTTATATAAAAGTCTTCACTTTTAAAATTTCGTGATAATATATTAAGAAATGTATTTAATACAAAAATTATATATGATAATCTTTCAATAAAGTTTAAATATGATGAACTCTTCAAATTCTTCAATAAAATCACTTTTACTTCAATGATATTCAAAAATAATCTTTATAATACCTTGCCAAATTCTTTAGTTTTATAATAAATCACTTTGTTTGTTATTGTAATTATTTCTTTATGCTTTATCTGTAAGTATCATTTAGTATTACATTATATTTGAATAACTTAAAGAATAACTTAACTTACTGCATTATATTTTTTTTATTTAACAATCAGTATCAATTTTTCACATATGATTTGTGAAGTGTTTTATATATTTCAGTTGAGAGATTATTCAAGATTCAATATTTACAAATAGTTGTAATTATATGGTATCACTTACTATATAGTTTTGAAAAATCACATTCTGTAATTGATAATGATGCAAAACTTCTTTTAAATCTGGAATACCAGTCAATAATAAGAGTCTGTATCAATTTCATTATTTTCAATTTCTTAAAGTTTACTAATCAATTTTACTTTAATTTATCTCAAAAGTTTTTAGATCATTTTAGTAAACAATTCTTGTCTACTCATTATATATATTTGACTAAATAATATGTAAAGCTCACAGAGATCACTGCATATTATTTTATTATATGTGTCAAAGATATTATTCAATGCAAAAAGAACAATTTTTATTATATATCAAAAATTTGCAGCAGTTATTACTTTTAGTTATTTCAGTTTGTGAAACAATTTCAATCCAGAAAAGTGAGAAATTTAATAGAATAAATCATCAAATTTATTTATAATTCTGTTTGCCAACTTTTTTCAAAATATCTTGAGTGAAGTCCAACTAGTATTTGAAGAGTTCAAGATTGATATGATATATATAATCAGATATGTAAATTTCATAAATATTTAAGTTTCTATTCAAAAATTTCAGTTTTTAGCTAATTAATTATTTCTTGAAAATAGTTGCAGAAAGAATTACTATTTAAATAATTACTGAAATCTTTAAAGGCATTTTCAACATTATATATTAAAAAATTTTTGTTTCAGTCTTCATTTATGATTTGTTGCATATTTTTTGGTATTCTGAAAGTCATGTTCTCTGATACAAGATTCATATTGTTGAGATTATTCTATATAATCATGCAGGTATGACATGATATCTTGCATTATGCTGCTTTATATATTATGGTTATATCATCAACTTCAAGCATATCTGCAAGAAAAACTAAAATTTATATTGCAAAAATTACTAATTGCTCCTAAACTCTGAAATATAATGTATTAGATTTTTTATGTAAAGATCCAAGCATGATTTTCAAGTACTTGTAATATACTTCACATTGAAGATTTCAAAAAACTTCAGTAATTTTAATCATTAAATCTTGAACTTGAAACAAAACATTCAAAAGAACTTTAGATTCTGATTTATTATGAATTCAGTTTGAAAAGTTATCAAGTATCAAAAATATTAAATGTTCTGAACTCTTACTGAGATTATCAAAGATAGTAACATTAAAGTATAGAATAATTAACAATAAATGATTTAATAGAGGAAGTATCTTTTCAGTTTTGTATTATCAATCATATTCATATTGTTTTTCAAATATTCTTATTTTAATTTCATCTTTCTAATAATTAATTAATATTTATTAATTTGTTAATTTTGTTAATTAATATTATAGTAATTGAAAACTTACTATCTTTTCTTTTTTTAGAACTTTATATTGAATAAAGTTATTTATTATTCCTGATTATTATAGAAGCATTTGGATAGCTCAAAAAATTGAATAATAATAGAGAGTAAAATTAACTTTGAAGTAAGTTCCAATAATCTTTTCTTTAAATTTAATCAAAGATAATTCTATTTGATTAAGATAATCTTTTTCATTTTTGATAGACTTTGATAATAGTAACTCT